GAGGGGGTGTGGGCGTCAGAAAGGGGGTGGGGTGGCGGTTGTGCATGTTGACCGAGGGGTTCTGGGTGGGGGTGTTCCGGTTGGCCGGAGTGGGGTGGGTTGGGTTGGGCGTGAGCTTGAGGCTTTTGGCTTTGCAGCGGTAGCTGTGCTTGGACGTTTGATCCCTCGGTACTCCCTGCGAGTACAGAGGATTTACTGCAGCATGGCACAAAGGCAGCGCCAAGCGGGCGCACTGAGTGCTTTGGGTTTGCGGTGGCGGCAGGCTGCGCGGGCGCGGCAGCGGCCCTGCCGAAGCGGCATGCTGTAGGCAAGACGCCAGGGGCCCGGGCTTCCGCGCCCCGTAGCAGGCCATCCGGTGCAAGGCCGGGTCGCCACGCGGGCTTGCTCCCCTGGCTCAATACGCGTGGCGCTTTGCCTGCCCGCGCGAACGCCCGTCCTTCTCGCCTCCCCGGGACCAACTAGGTGAAAGTGCACGGCGGCTTCCTGGCGACCTCGCGCCATGCGCTGCCGACGATGCTCGAGGTCATAAAGGAGGCTCTTGACCAGGCACGAACAGAGCTGCGGCAATCAGAACCGGCGGCGGCACCCGCACCTGCAGCCGCAGCTCCGGCGGCGGCCAACGGCACGGCCGGCGAGGCAGCAGGGGATGCCACGTCAGCCCCAGCAGCCGCGGCAGCGGGGGCGGCGCCGAATGCAGAAGCGGAGCCGAAGCTCTACCTGCTGGGCCACAGCCGGGGGGGCGGGCTGGCGACGGTGATGGCTGCGCAGCTCTCCAGCGCGCATTTCCAGGAGGCAGGGCGCTTCATCGCCGGCATCTACACGTTTGGGGCCCCGAAGGTCGGCAACAAGAAGTTTGTGCAGAGCTACGGCAAGCGGCTGGGCCAGGTCACGTATGCGTGGTGAGCGGGCGGTGCAGAGGGGACGGCGGCGTTCTGTTGCGATCGTCGCCTTCCTGCCGGTGTACATGGAGACGTGCGGTGTGTTTGTTGCGCCCTGTTGGCGCTGCACTTGACACTCTTGGCCGCGCACCTCACTTACACCCCAGCCTCATCGTGCCCTTGTCATTCCCCGCCGCTACTTCGTGCCACGCGCCCCCAAACACAAAAACAAAGGCATTCTGGCCGCCCAAACACATCACCCCCACTTCTCCCTCAAAAATCAGGTGGAACGAGAAGGATATTGTGCCCTTCCTGCCGCCCCAGGTCTGGCTGGGCTACCGCCACCTGGAACCAGAATCCCGCTGGCGCGTATGGAACGGCACCTGCGCGCAAGCGCACTGCAGCATCTTTGACATGGCCGCGGGCCGCGCGTGCCTTTCTCTCGACTGCCCGACCGTGACGGCAGCGGTGTGCATGTTCAACGAAGAGCGGGACCACAAGCAGCAGGCGTACGTGTCCAGCCTCAGGAAATGCATGCCCCGCAGCGCCGTGCCTGACGCGTGCCTTGCTGCCATCTAGGCTGCCCTCGTCGCAAAGGAGCGGGGTGTGTGTTGTATGTGGAGGTGTTCGCGTTGCTGCTCCGCCGCCGTGCCGCTCGATGCTCCTGCGGCAGGGGTCCCGGGGGTGGGGTGAGAGGGGGGCACTCGTGGCTTGGGCCGGCGAGGGCGGCCTGTGGGCTTCAATTTGGTTTGAGCGCTCATGAATATGACATATGGACAATGGTGATTGAGGGTTGAGAGACGCCCACATTGACCTCGGCAAACGCTGCGCAACCTGTACGCTTGCACAATGGCAGCGGCGACTGACCGGAGGAGCGTGTCGTGATTATACCCGCTGCCGTCAGGCCCCCCAATACTACTTCGCAAAGTGGGATATTATCAACTAAGTGCACGCATTCCTACTTATGCCATTGCATGAAACCTTTCCGCGGGGTGCTGAACCTTGGATCTGTGCATGACAGCTGCCACATTGACTGCACCACGACGCGTTCCTCGCACATCTGGATGGTGTAATGTGCATAGTGTAGACTACAGATAAAGCTGCTGGTGGGGTGCCTGTCACTTTCGGTCTATGTACGGTATCGCAGAATCGCGTTTGTCATGGTCAACCAGTCAATCAAGGTGTGCCTCGCTGTTGTGCATGGACACAGGCGTCGCAGGGGCTCTTGCAGCATGAAATATCTGATTGTGGCTATCTCCACGTCTTCATATGTTGATTGAGTCACATGCACCGATATTGCCTCGCTGGCCCTTGAAATCACCCGCCGTTCCCGTGTCACTTGAGCATTCCGCACGAAGCGCTGCCTCGATAAAGCAGTGGGCATAATTTATTCGGGTATCACTGCATATATCTGTCATCAGGCACGACCCTGCCGAACCCGCGGAGCGGCTCATCACTCGCAGGGCACGCCGGGCTGGCGCACTGAAGGTCGCGATGCATTGAAGAGATGCGCAACATCTTTTAGACGCACATATGACAGGCTGCGGTGCTTGGAGCGCAGTTCATAGCACGACCCGAGGTGTCACGCCGCCGTCGCTGCGCATGGCGCACGCCGCAGCCCGCGACATGCGGCCGCAGCTGACTTCGCTTGACGCAAACAACGACGGGGATTGGCGGCAGGGCCTGCCGGGCGACGTCCTCGTGGCGTGCCTGGAGCGCCTGCTGCACGACCCCCAGGCGGTCGCTGCCGCGCGCGGGGCGTGCGCGGCGTGGCGCGCGGCGGCAGACGCGTGCGTGCAGGAGGTCACGCTGAGGTGAGGATGAAGTGATGTCACAGCGGCAGGGGTTGCGCGGTGGCGTGGCCTTCTTGCCTGAGCCGGCTTGTGGTCGGCCGCCAGTGTGTTGAGCTGGGGGAGGTCCCGGCGCCGCAGTGTTGTCGGGTTTCCCGAAGCAACTGCGCCGGGCGGCTGCGGCGCAGTGGCGGTCCAGCATCGGACCTGCACACCGCATGATTCCATCAGCCATTCAGCAGAGCCCCCAGGGGTTTCCAATGTAGGGGCGTGTCCGGCAGCCCTACGGCAAGAACCAACCCCGCCCCCGCCTCAGGTGCTGGCCGCAGCGGCCGCAGGCGG